CATGCATAGCAAAGTAGACTAGGGGAGATAGGGTTGGAGAAAGTTATGAAACAGTGAATGATTTTTTTTAAATGAACTGGGGAGGTAGGAAGGAAAATGTGCAACAATCAATGAACAAATGAAAATCCAACTTTTCTGTAAACTTTTCTGTCTATTAAAATCACAATTTAAAAAAAGAAGACCAGAAAAAAGATAAATTTCTCACCTATCTTTGCTTCATTTTTGCTCTTTTTGTCCTTCTGATAAATTATCTATTTTTTTTTGGTCTCATGACCGTTAGGCTTTGAGTTGCCCCTTAGAAACTCTAGCCAATGGGATAAATAGGCTTGCAAATATAACCAGAACTGCACATCTAGGAAAGGATCACATAAAAAAATGGACCTTCTAGAAAGAAATTCCTTGTGTGCCAAGGAGAAACTTTTCCAACAGGGTTAAAGAAAGCATCCCAATTTGGAAAAAAACATTTGTCAAAATCATTTCAGAAAAGGGTTCAATAACTAAAGTTTACAAAATACACAAGATAGGGAAGCTCTGGTGGCCTACTGGTAAGGAGCTGCAACTACAGTCTCAGAGGTGCATGGTTCGAATCCACCAGATGCTCTGCAGGGGAAGGAGGGACAATCTCCTCCTGTACCAGTCAGATCTAATTTGACGGTACACTCAGGCAAAAATAATAAAATAAAAAAAAAAAAAAAAAAAAAAACAAAAAACCAAACAAAAAAAGGAAAAAAGATATGAAAATACTCTTCAAGAACAAATCAAAACATTAGGATGACCAATAAATACATTCAAAATCACTGATAATCAGAAAGATGAAAATAAAAATAACAATGATACCATCTCATCCCAGTAGGAGTAGAAGTAGCAAAGTTTAAAAGACAGCAAGCTATAAATGTTGGAGAGAAAATAAATGGATTGCAACTCTCATGCACTGCTGGTGAGATTCTAAAATTGTACAACCACTCTGAAAGGCAATTTAGTATTTCCTAAAAAAGCTTTACATGAAAATCCCATATGATCCAACTATTTCACTGCTAGAGATACTTCCCAAAGAAATTAGAAATGAGACATGAATGGAGATATGTACACCTATGTTCATAGAAGTGTTATTCAGATTAGCAAGAAAATTAAACAACCCAAATGCCTATCAACAAATGAATAGATTGGAAAAAAAAGTGGAACATTCATATGATGGAATACTATGCAACACTAAGGAACAACGATTTCATTAAATTAAACGCTATATAACATGGGGGAGTTTAGAGAACATTAAACTCATAATGACAAATCTAAAGAAGACCATTATTGGAAAAATAGAAGGATAACTTTTGATATGTTTAAATGTTCAAAAAAGGAAAGAAAAAAAAAGGAGATGGGAGAAGAAATGAAATCACTATGACAGAAGAGACTTGGGGTGGATGTGTGTGTGCGTGTGTGTGTGTGTGTGCGTGCGTGTGTGTGTGTGTGTGTAGGAAAAGGAAAGAATCAATTCAGACTTGAAAAGAAGGAGTGAAAATAGTCATAGAACATTGTTGTTGTTATGTGCCATATGAATACAATAGCTCTGAAATCTGCTCTATCCTGAGCCAACGTCACTGTCTCTGACACACCTACCCCCAGTCACTGAGTCAATCCATCTCATCCAGTCTTCCTTTCTTGGGCTCCCCCTTCACACTTCCAAACATGATATCCTCCTTGCAACTTGCCCAAAGTGTGTCAGATGGAGCTTCAGAATCCTTGCTTCCAAGGAACAGCCTGGTTTCATCCTCTCCAGGATGAACCTCTTTGTTGTTCTAGCAGTCCATAGTATAGTCAGCACTCTTCTGCACCAGAGCCGAAAATCATAAATTCTCCTCCTATATCATTCCTAGTAATTTTCCAGCTTTCTAATGCATTGCAAGTAATTGCGAAGAACATGGCCTGGATCATATGCACCTTTATCTCCAGACTGATATCGTTGCTCTTCAGTATACTAGAGAGGTCCCTAACAGCAGATTTTCCCAATGCAAATAATCTTTTGATTTTCTGCCTGCTGGTACCAAGAGTGTTGGTTGTACAAAAATAATTAATTATATAAAATACAATACGTATGAAGAATTGTCTAAAACACAATGTATTTGGACTAAACACAATATAAATTAAGAAAGATTTAAATAATTAATGATTGTATGCAAATCAATAATAATAAGAAAAAAACACCAAGAAAAATTAGCTTAATGTGTAGACATGAGAAGATTGGTTTGGTTTAAAATATACTTCTTATGTGTGTGATAAACTGCTTGGGTTTCAAAGTTTTGACCTTAGATGATTTAGTTAGCCCAGTTAGACTTCAGGCTTCTCATTTGTAGAAAAAGAATATTTTAAAATATCTTCCTTATTGTTGTTGTTATTTGCCATTCAGTTTACTTGGACTCATAGGGATCCTATGTGTAATAGGTAGAAATCTTACATGATTTCCATCTTGCTTAAGCATGTCATTGCACTGTGTCAATTTATCTTATTAAGGTCTTCCTATCCTGTATTGACTGACATGCTACTTTTTCAAACAAGTTGTTTCTTTCCAAACACTAATAATTCCTGATAATGTGACCTAACGCATTTGAGATGAAATCTAACTGTTCTTATCTGAAAGGAGCACCCTGACTGGATTTCTTCCAAGAAAAACTTGTTGGCTCTTTTGGCACTCCATGGTACACTCAATATTATTTTTGCAAGCATATGAGTTAATGCATGCAAAATTTTTGGAATTGTGTTTAACACAATGCACTTGTTTCTTACTGAAGCCTTGCTTGATCTCTGTTGTTGCAATAACTAGATCAGTCTATCTTATTGAAGTTTGCCCAATCTTTAACCAACACTCTACTTTTCCAAGCAAGATGTTTCTTTCCAAAGACTACTAACTTGACCTGATAACTTGACCTGAGTATATGAGATGAAGTTTCACTGTCTTTGTCTTAAAGGAGTACACTGGTTGAACATCTCCCAAGAAATGTTTGCTTGTTCTTTTGCAATCTATAGTATATCCAGATGTTTTAAATCTTATTTTAAGCAAAGCACATGCATGTTAATAAAGTAGAAATATTCTGTGCATCATTTGATTGGAGTATGTAAATTTACCTTTTATTTGTTCATTCCTTCCACTGCATTTCAAATATTTTGTCGATGACTCAGATTTTCAAACATTCAAAGAAAAACAAAGAGCAAATTCTCTCTCACCTTATTTTCTCCTATTCAAAGCGTTTTTGTATTACAAACTTTTGGTCAGAATTTCCTGTATTGTGATATCTTAAACCTTTAAAAAGGTGGTTATTTTAATGCTTCTTCTTCATGCTATATTTATACAGCTTCCCAAGAGATGATTCAAGAGCATCATTTAAAATATACAATTTAAAATAGATTAAGAAATAAACTCAATTTATTTTCAATTTCTTCACATGCAATTTTGTACGTCTGTAGTTTCCAGTGCAGCTTTGTGATCCGGCTCTGCTCTTCGCGCTGTGATCCAGCTGTGCTCTTCTCTAACAAACACTTTTCATCTCTTTGCTATATCATCACTGGGACATCACTTCTCATGGCAGGTATGTGTGTATGTGTACTTCTAGCAAGAATAAGAAATGATAAATGTCTCCAAAGAAGCTATCACTTGGGCATAATTAACATCACATCATAGTGAAATAATTGATAGTAGGTTTTTCAGGCTATCCATGTAGTGGCATATCCTGATTTAATTTTAATTTCTTGATGCATTGTTCTTTAATCTATTACATCTGAGAAGCTTTTCTAACAGAGTGACTTCAGATAGGGTATATGTGAATTTTGTATGAGAAATTAATTACATGGTTATTATATGCTTTAGATAATTTAAATATAAGAACAGATATATGATGCCAAATAAAATTAACACAATGCATAAAAGGGGTTTTTTTTGTTTTAAACATTTGTGTTGTGACTCCTAAAGGTCTTCCAGACATTTATATATTGTATAAATACTGTAATTTTTATATTACTGTTTGGAAGAATGCTAAATGAATTATTGATACATGAAGAATTTCCTAAAGTTAAATTATTTCAGGGTGGGAACCCATGCCTTTAGACTAGTGCTTTTGGTTAAGAGCCAGTGTGACTTTAAAAAAATTTCAAAACAGAAATGTTTGGGTATCTATCATGACCCAATATATGAGAAAATTAATTCCATTTTCCAGACGATCTCCTTACACTTTGGTTTCAGAATTTTTGATTCTCGCTTCCAATGTTTTCTTTTTTGCCTAATAATGATCACCTAAATTTTTCTCAAAGCAGAACCTCTATGGAGTTTAGCAGAAGAATACATTATCAAGTTATGTTATTATCATTGATAATAGTAGGAAATATTATGAGAAAAACTGTACTTAGGCAAGTTGAATTTTATATCTGACTTGCATACTTAGTAGCTTTAAGGAATTATACTGTTCCTGAACCTTCAACTTTCTCATCTGCCTAGTGGGAATCTTTTCTACTTAGAGTGATTTTTCTTAAGAGAATAAGAGAAAAATATGCTATAAAGTACATACATAGAAGCTGGAGCTTCTTAATAGACCTTTTAAAATTCTAGATCTCTAAGCTTCTCTGCCAATTTGAGAAGAAAATAAATAAAAACTATGAAATTCATTTTAATGTCTTCTGGCAATAAAAAGAAATTATATAAATACGTAGTTAATCTCAGTGAAGGATAATGCACACTGTTATAGATGTGTATAGATGCTAGTACTGGTGAATTTCTAAGCAGAATTTCTTCATGTTCCAACAACTCATTGACAGAATGATTGAGTTACCAGATGAAAGAGATAATGTTTAAAAATATTTATCTATAAACCCATAGACACAATGTAAATATTGAAACCACTGGATTTTACCTTCACTGGTTTCTGCTTCTAAGAACTTTAGCTACTATGTCTTTTTTTACCCCAGCTTTTCATACCACTCCATGGAGGTGGAGGCTGATTTCTGGAACCTTGGCAGTAATATGTGTTTTTTTGATCACTACTTTGGGAATTTTACTGAAAAAATGTAAGTTTTTCTATGAATCATCATACTGATTGTTGTTATCTTAAAATGGTCATTAGTAAACCTTACATTTTACCTGTGTATTGTATTCTATGATGGTATAGAGACACTTAGATATATAATAATGTGCATAAATTTCTACTCATTTATTATAGCAGTCACCCAGCCAAGTTTTCAGTCAACTTTCTCTCCAGGATCCAACTTGGAACTCCAGAAAAGTAAGCTCTACAATCTGGACATTCTTAGTATTGGTATAAAATAGAAATAGATAAGTTATTTTTTTACACACTAATACAAATTTACTTCCATAATTATGGAGTGGTTTAGTTCTGTTGTTCTCTAATGTAAGCATGCTAAATTGTATAATTAACCATGGACATGAAAGGAATAGAAAGAGATAACGGATTTATGTCCTCTACGGATGCTAATTACAAAGTAATAAATAAATAATATGGTATATACTTTCAATTTTTGGCTGTGTTTGCTCATAACCAATATGTCCCTAATTGTATTTCTTTAGTAATTATGTCTTAGAATATAATGTCCAAATTTCTGCAATTATAAAGTCTATTTATACTATTAAGAGTCAGTTTATAGTGTATAAATTTATTTTCTCCAAAACACTCCACATTGTGCCTCTTCTGTGAACAGATATTTTATTTATATCATATGCAATTGAGTACCAATTATTTGAAAAGTATATTAATATCCATTATATTATATGAGACTTAGAAAAGAATTGTTGATTCACTACCACCCTTATATCAGACTTAAAAAAAATAGATCAGAATATCTTCAGTGCATGATATTTTTCATGAGTTTAGAGAATATAATTAAATGCTTTATCCTTTTAAATCACTCCTTTTGATGCACTTACCTCTCCTTTGCAGTGTGAAATTCACTTTTCTGTCTATTTCCTTAATACAGAGTCTTTTTATACTTTCCATCTCAATCTCATGTGCTATCCTGTGCTCTTTTAACATACTGAAGTTTTTTACCTATTTACTAAGTTTATCTTTCTACATAATTGCAAAGTGATTGGGAATTATCAGACTCTTTTTCTCTCTGCAGCGTTTAATTTCCATGAGGGAAAACCTGAATTGTTCACCTTTATAATCCTGATCATAGCACACTACAGTGCATGTAATATGCGCTCAGAATTTATAGACAAGGAAAAATGAAATAAATCGTACGTAAATGGTTTTTAAATGAGTGGTGTTTGGTGGTTGTTTGCCATCATGTCAGAACTGACACTTAGCTGACCCTCGAGCAGGTTTTCAAAGGCAATAAATTGCACTGGAGATTGCTTGTACTCCTGCAGAGCACCTAGTGAATTCAAATGATTGCCCTGCAGCTTCTTACCACTAGGCTAACAGTTGTTGTTTTTGATTGCCATCAAGTAGAGCACGACTCATAGACCCTATGAACAAAAGACCTGAAGCCTTTGGATAACTATTGTTTCTCAAAGTTCATAGAGTTTCCAGGGGCATGTTGTTTAGGAAATGGATGCCACTCTTGTTTCCGGAGCTCCCTTTAAATGAGTAAGTAGTAATAAAAATATTTTAAAACCTACATGTCATCAAATATTTTTTTTTTAAATCTTAGGTTCTGCCTGTTGTTCTTGCCAAGAAAAATGGATTGGATACAAATGCAATTGTTACTTCATTTCTAATGAAGTAAAAACTTGGGAAGAAAGTAAGAAATACTGTGCTTCTCAAAATTCCAGTTTGTTTCACCTGAAAAGAGAAGATGAATTTGTATGTACTTGGGTTTCTCCTTTTGCTTTGCTCTAAAATAGATAATACCCAATGAAATAAGTATTTTGATTAAAATTTCTAATTAGATTGTAAATGAATTACCGTATTTGAACAAATTATTATTAACTCTGTATTTGGAAGCAGTCATTACAAAACTCACTTAAAATTCCTTAGGGATGTATGTTTAAGAATAAAATCAATATGCCAGGTAGAGTGAAAGAAAGTTTTCTTTCTGGTGCATTCAAAAGAAAAGACTTATATTTCATTATTTCATTTAAAAAGCCAACTAAATGGTTTTATATTATTTGCTTATTTTAATGTTGTATTTTTTGTTGTTATATTCTGTGGAATTGGAACTAATAGCTGACCCTCCAGTGGATTTTCATATATCACACAAAAAGTGGTTATCCATCTTTCCCCTGAGGTGCAGTAGGAAATTTTGAACTGTGTGCCTTTAGATTGGGAGCACAACTCCTTACTCACTATAAATTGTTTGATAAAGACATAGATTTTTATCATGGTTTTTAAAGAGAGAGTATATAGGTTTGTTGTTGTTGTTGTTACGTGCTGTCGAGTTGTTTGCGACTCATGGTGACCCTATGTACAACAGCCCTAAACCCTGCTCTATCCTGTGCCAATCTCATTGCCTCTGACACACCCATCCCAATTACCCCAGTCACTGACTCAATCCACCTCATAGAGGGTTTTCCCCTCCTGCGCTGTCCCTTTACCCTACCAAGCATGATGTCCCTCTCCAAGGACCTGTCTCTCCTTACAACATGTCCAAAGTATGTCAGACAAAGCCCCAGAATCCTTGCCTCCAAGGAGTAGCCCAGTTTAACTCTCTCTAGGGTGAATTTGTTTGTTTTCTTGGCAGTCCATGGAACATTCAATACTCTTTTCCAGCACCACACCTATATGGGTTATGATGATAAAAATGAAAAATTTTTTTAATAAAAAGTATTAATTGCTCTATGCATGCCAGAGAATGAGCTGTGTAAAAGCTGATCATAACCAGGAGATTTAATCCCTTGATATCCTGTTACTGCGGGAGATTTTCAGCCCAATTCTGATTTGTTATTCAGCCTTTAACATGGATTGAAGCTCAACATCAAGAAAACAAAGATTCTCACCACAGGGCCAATTGGCCATTATAATAGATGGTGAATTGAGTGAGATTGTTAACAGATTTAGTTTGCTTGGTTCCATAATCAGTACTCTTGGTACCAACATCCAGGAAATCATAAAACAAATTGCATTGGGAAAGTCTGCAGCCAGAGATTTTTCCAAAATACTGAAGAGCAACAATATCAGTCTTGAGACTACCTAAAGTGTGCCTGACCCAGGCCATAGTCTTCTGAATTACTTGCTATGCATCAGAAGGCTGGACAATGACTAGGGATTATAGAAAGAGAATAGATATCTTTGAGATGTGGTGTTGGAGATGAGAATTGAATATACTATGGATGGCCAAGAGAACAAACTGTTTTGTCCTAGAAAGTATGAAACCAGGCTGGTCCTGGGAGGCAAGGATACTGAGGCTTCGTCTGAAATTTTTGGGGCATGTTGCAAGGAGGAAACAGTCTTTGGGGAGGGACATCATGCTTGGAAGGGTGGAGAGACAATGCAAGAGAGGAAGATCCTCAATGAGATAGATTGAATAAGTAATTGGGATAATGAGGGTAGATATGTCAAAGACAATAAGGTTGGCTCAGTATAGAGCAGGTTTCAGGATGATTGAACATCAAGTCATAGCAACAACAATGAAGGATATGGGGAACTCTGGTTGCCTAGTGGTAAGAAGCTACACTGCAATCCTAAGGAAACAGAATCTACCAGCTGTTTTGTACGAGCAAGATGGGCAATCTCCTCCTGTGTGATTCTTGCCCCTGATAACCCACTAAAAGGCCAGCTATGGGTCTGTTCTGACTCAATGGCAAGCAACAAAACCAACAACAATATGAAGGATATAATAATACTATCTCATGGACAGATAATGGTTGTATATTTTTATAATAGACTATAATAAATGATATATTAATATTTCATATATAAGGAGAATAGTTACAGTATATATAATTATAATAATATAATAGTACTATGATAGAGAACATATTAACATAATATATTAACAATTATATATTATTAATAAAATAGTACTATACTAAATATATAAAATAGTGTAATAGTAATATAAAAACAATTCTAGAGTGAGGATTTCATGGCTTTCATATTTTATTCTGACATTATTTTTTATAAACAATGGGTGTAAATATTTGCACTTTTTCTTTAATACCATTTTATCAATATATTTTTCTTTTAAAATGACCTATTTCCCCTCTTAGAAAATGAATGAGCATCTGCAGAAATAACATACTTATATACCATTGTTATTAACTTGTCTGGTAACTTGGTTGTAAGCAATTATGACCCCAACCCAAATATATGGAGTTTTAATCCACAAGCTGTTCTGCAGGAGAAGGATGGAGAATCTCCTACTGTGAGATTTACCAGTTCTTTAAACCTTCTAGAGGATCAGCTATGAGTTGGTTCCAGCTTGATGGTATATAACAAATATATATCTTTGTTGACCTCTGGTGGTCTAGTGGTAAAGAACTTCATTGTAGTTCAAAGGCACTCGGTTCAAATCTACCAACTGTTCTTCAATAGAAAGCTGTATATTCTCTTCCTTTGGAAGCAGGAGGGGCATCCGCTTCCACAATAGCTTGCCTCTGGAAACCCTATGAACCTGGAGAAAGGACAGAAGTTATACAGGAGGTGTCTAGGACTTTTGTTCATAGGGTCGCTATTAGTCGCCTGCGACTCAATGGCACTTAACAACAACAACAACATTCTCTTCCTGTGGAATTCACTGCATCTGAAAACTTACTTAAAGATCAGCTATGAGTCAGTGTTGACTTGATAATAAAGAACAACAACATAGATTTTTTTGGTTGGCATCATTGTAATAAAATATTGAACTATATAATTATAACCTATAATACTTTTGTTTTCCTAAAAGATTAATGATTCCTGAACAAGCTTACTTAAAGACAAAAATTATCTATTTTACAGTAGAAGTTGTAAGAATCATGGCTTCAATTATTGCTAAATTTGTGTGAACTTTAGGATGTGGAATTGCCTTTTCAATTAAAAAAGAAACCAAACTCACTGTCATCGTGTTGGTTTCAACGCATAGAAACCTTTCTTTTTTTTTAATTAAATTTTATTAGTTTTAATGAACATTTACAGAGATTTTGGGTTTTCATTCATTCATTGTTGCACTGTTTTCTCCACCCTCATCCT